CCCCAAAACCCCAAAACCCCAAAACCCCAAAACCCCTTGCTCGTTTCGCCTAAATGATTATATAAAATTAAATATGAAGAAGGGCAGTTTGAAAGTAGGCACTAGGAACTATTATAAACCTCAGGACCGGACTTCTGATAGTAATTTGGGTGGTAATGGAAGCGCAAAGAAGCTACAAGCGAAGCGTAAGAAAGCTGTTAAGCAACAATTTGTTTCTAAAAAGGAATACAAACTTCCAATTGGAGCTAAACTTAAACGAAACAGAGTCATTAGTGAAAAATAATCAGAACAATATTGCTAAAGCCAGGGCATCCTCGAACAAGAATAATGGTAGGAAAAGGTTGTTTAACCATGTTCCGAGTGCAAGCAATTTTGATAAAAATTCTCTGAGAGCTGCTTCTAATCAGACGAATTCTAGGGAAAAATCTGCTTCAAGAAGAATAAAAATGACTTATAATCAAAATGCCCTAGTTGGTGGTTGGGCAGGGAATGCAGATATTAACTTAGCAACTTTGCAGAATACCAGAAATGTTGATGCCAAATTCACCAGATCTAGAATTCCTAGTAAAATACCGAAGATCAGTCGTCACTCAGAGGCCAATACTGCATATTCAAGTAAGAACAAGAGGAGAGACGGAAACTCTATGGATAAGAAGCTCATCCCAATTCAGTATGAGAGATCGAATACTCAAGGAAGACTGAAGCAGAACTTATTTTCACCGAAGGAAAAGACCATTAAACAAGGTATTGACTCTGACCGTAGTTTCAACAGTAGTCTTGTTAAAGCAAATAATGAAATCTCCATTTTGAGAGATGAACTTAAGAAGAAAAACTCTGAATTAATGAAATTAAAATAAATTTCGAAAATTTCCAGACAAATGTAAAACACCGATGTCCCAAGTTGAAGGGCAAAGCCCCAAGAAGGGATTCACTGCAGGGCGGAAGAGAAGGACTCATTCCAGGCTGACCACTGGGAATAAGAGAAATGTAAATCTTGATTCAGAAAGATCAAATTCTCAGTCAGATGATTATTATGAAACTGCAAAGGTGTCTTCACAATCTTCATATAGTAACAGTATTTATTCAAAAGGGATCACAAAGATAAAGTCTAGTCAGAGCTGAAGAAATATTGAGCAGGAGAATGTTGCTCCTTCTTTCCATAATCATAACAATCTGTGTGCTGTAAAAGAGAGCGAGGAGGAACAGATGACTGAGACCTTTACTAAGTTGAACAAAAAGTTCTCCCAGCCTCAACAGAAGGAGATAGGGAAGAAAAACACACCTAGGCAGAATGCCAAGATTGTAGACGGTGTATCTAAAAGCAGCTCCAAAAAGCTACAATATGAAGGCTCACAAACAAGTTATAAGTCTAAACAAAATAGTAAAGGTGGAAGCTCAGCTCGAGGGAATAACACCACCAAGGCAAAGAGGAAGTCTGAAGATGGCTCTAATCCACCCAAAATGAAAAGAAATATAAACTTGCCTAGTATAAAGAAGAAAGGGGAGATCAAATTTGACCATAGCCTTGTAGGATTTGCTACCAGGTCTTTGTCTAAGAAAGGCACTCTTACAATTCAGAAGGCTAAATTAAGCTCTTCTAAGGGTGGTGCTAAGAATGATAATTTGAATTCCTCACAGAAGAGTGGGCTTATTAACGTCTCCAAAAAGTATCAATATCGAGGAAAGAGATTGAATATAGACGCTCAGAGTATTGCAAGTTCTGGGAAGTCACAAATGACAACTGAATCTTTAAAGAATCATCAAAATTTTCACACAAAGAGTGGGCCTATTCAGACCCAAGAAATTTTACAAACTAAGTCAAACAATGAAAATAATTTAAAACAAGGAAGGAAGCTAAAATTGATGGATTATCGTCTAAAGGGGATGACATCTCCTTCAAATACTGGGAAGGCACCTCCTTCTATTGGATTCAACACGAATAATGACTTCTCGTCAACTGTGCAGAAATCGACCTCTCGAGTGCTGACCAGCAGGCAGGCAAGCTCCAGAGGAAGTCTGAAGCCGATAGTGCAGTCAAAATCAAAGAAAGGTCCAAAATTGGCTAAAACTACTGTAAAAGTAGCAAAATCAAAACCTTCAGAAAAGAAAGAAGATAAGGAAATAATTCAGAAGAGGCTGGCACTCCTCAATTTCGATGAAGAAAATGGTCAGATTGATAATGAGAGAGAACTCAAGAAGAAAGAAGCTAAGGCTCAATTAAACATCAGTGAAAGCATGGCAAAATCTCAAGAAGGCCAAGATGAGCTTGATAAAAAGGAAGAAAGTACTAAAGATAATGTAAAAAATAAGATCTTGAGTATCGACAGTAAACTCTCTGGGTCAATGTTTAAAGGTAAATCTTTGTTCAAAATTCTAGATAATGCCAAAGAAGAGGAAGATGAAGATCATGAGTATATGTTACTCCAACCTACACACTACATGCTTGAGCATCCTATGTACCAAGAGACGAAACAAGAGGAGACTAAAGAGGTCGAGGAGCACAAAGAGGATGATTTAGGTATTTCTTAGCATTCCAGATTTCATTCCCCTTTCCTAATTAACTTCTTATCTAGTTCATTGTTTCATGGATAAGAAAGACAGAAAGAAGAAAGAGCATAAGTTAAACCTGAAGTTTGAAGCTGAGGACATGTGTAATCTCCAAGATAGTCATAGTTCTGTGGCTCTGAACAAAACTTTAGAGTTTAAACCAATGAAGCCAGTCCATGGGTCTCTGTAATTTAATAATAATCATTCTGATCCTGCCTGGGGTTTTGGGGTTTTGGGGTTTTGGGGTTTTGGGGTTTTGGGGTTTTGGGG